CAAACTTCTAACATATAGAGACCAAACTGTCCACTATTTACTAAACATTTAGTATTGTGTCTAGATCTAGTACAATTAAAATACTCATTAAAAAATGGAGCATATATTATAATTATATTGTCAAAAATATAAATTATTATTATAATTTTATGGTATATTTCTAAATGCAAATATTTCATAACATTATTCCAGGAATGATGGATAAACACCTCAGTTCACTGTTGCATCCACAAATTATAATAATCCACTTTATCACAATTTTTAAGAACATTAAGTGACATGTAGAGAGAGAGAGAAACACTGCATGAAATCTGGTACATAATATTTGTGTTAAATTTACATTGTAAAATGTTAAATAATTTATTAAATATTTTTTTTATACATCAGCATGATTAAAGTTTTTTTTAACTAATAGAATATAGCCTTAATGCTGATTACTCATTATTTAGTTAAATCAGTATTACAGTATCAATGGAAATATATTAGACTAATCATAATTTTAAAATTAATTTCAAACAAACTAACAAGCATGTCTTGCTGTCAGTTAATTTTAAAATGAAATTTTTTCTGTTTGAGAAAATTGCAATTGTTTTCACTTGTATCACAAAACTTCCTATAACTATTAATACAACTTGTTCTTTGAAAAAGAGTAAAAGTTAAAATAATGATAATACTAAAAAATTAGTTATAATGAATTTTTTATATTGTATTTGAATTTAAAAACTTAAAAATTATTTATTTTATTAAATAAAAACAAATTAAATTAAAAATGTTATGCTGTTACATAAAATATTAAATGAATATTTTTTGAATTAAACACAGCATTTTAAATTAAGATAGATTTTAAGTTTTTAATAACTATGTTTTTTGTATGTATGTGAAAAAGTACCACCAAAATCTAGTGAAATAAGTGAGTGAGTGATTATTTTGAAAACAAGAACATTTTTAAAGATTTAAATAGTATTTAATGTTGGTTAGTTTTGGCTGAAAATAATTATATAGTTTTTACTCTTTGTTGTATTTTCTAATTAAAGTTTATAATAAGTTTATTTTTTATCTGAAAAAAAAGTTTTATTAAAAAGATTATATGGCTTTATATATCATTTTGTTATTTAATATTGAAAAATTACAGTAGTTCTATTACATTGTATTAAAATTATAGAATTGATAAAATTGGCCTTAAGGAAATTAACTGAAAAGTTCTCTATAATCATTTATGATGTGATAAATAAAAATTATAGTTTAGGATTATGTTAAATTTGTTCATTTATAATAATTATTTTAAATATTTTTGAATTATATGAAATTCTCATGCCATGTTTTCATTCATAAATGAAAGAATTAACATGAGAAGTTATGCAACTTTTTAATGTTTCTGCACTACGTATAATAATCAGAATAGCTAATAATAAAAAGTTTCTTGCAATTCAGAATATTTATAAATTTTTAAACAATGTTAAAATATAGTTTATTCAGTAGTAACTGTTTAACTAGTTAATCTCCTTCATAGTTTTAACTGTATTCCAGAGCTAGAACTGTTAAATATTAATGAAATTTCAATTATTATTAAGGAGTTTAAAAAGCCTCAAAATATTAGAATATTTTTATCTCTGCACAAGTATTACCAAACAATAAAAATCCTATTTATTTGAAATGATGTTGATCACTGTTACTGTTTATTCGTGAAAAAATTATTTTAAAATTATATTTATAATTTGATTAGTCATATTTAAATTTAATGAATACATTAATTAAAAGAAACATGTTTCAAATGTATGTGTTAAGTAAATTTTATCTTGCACCTGCTTATTTTTACATAAGGAATTTTGATAAATTTTTCTCCTAACTTATGATTCAACATGAAAAAATACAAATTTAACCATTACTTTATTTTAAATTAGAAGTAATTATTGTATGTATACATTGAGTTAATTTTTGTGTTGTGTGCTATTAGAATAACAATTGATAATTAATTAAACATAATCAGTCCTTTAAATGAAAGTAGATATGAAAATGTGATCATATTCGCATATATGCTGTTCATGAGTCATTGTTTTCTAGTATAACAATTAAATATTAGATTTCAATATATTTAAAATAATTTTTATGTAGGAAATGGTATTTGTGGGTAGTAGTAATCCTTACTTGGTTATTCGTGTTAGGTAACAATTATTACCACAATGATATCAATAGTTTCTCTGAGTATGTCTCCTCTATTAATTGCTGAATTTATTTTATAAATTATTCAACATCCGAATTTAAAAAAAATTTTTTTGAAATATTGCACAAAGACAAAACTTTAGTTGCAAATACGAATAGGTTACAAAAACGTTTAGAAATTACATTATTCAAATAAATTATATCAAAGAAAATCTAACTGTTAATTGTTAAAATATGGAAAGTTTTTCAAACCAAAAAGTGTCATGAGTTTATAAATTGCTTAAAAGTTAAGAAAATATATACAAATTAAAATATCAATAAATTATTATTAAGTCCTAACAGTTCAATTACATTGGAAACTAGATGGCATTAAGTTGCTGCTAGTGTTCTTTATCGATTTTTCCGCCTCTTTAACAGGTTAAAAGAAAAGTTATCGATCGCTGTTTTAGTAAATCGTTTCATTAAAGTATCACACTAAGGCGTTGAAGATGAACAAGACCATTATCCTAAAATAGACACAAATTTTATGCAGTTGTATTCTCATGAAGTCTTAAACTCTTGTATTTTCTTTTTATTGTTCCATATTAATGCACANCCAAGTGTATTTAAATGTAGTAAGAAAGATTTTTTCAAAGTTGATAGAAGGATATGTTATTTGTTTTGATTAAAATTAGCTAATACTGGATTCCATTCAAAATATAAATAATAAAATATGATGATATAACTTATTACAGAACAATTTAATTAAATAAAAATATTAATAGATATGAATGAATAGATTTTTTTCTTGAAATAATCTGTTACATCATTTTCTACACTGTATTATGATATATTTACTACAATATTTTATCAGTTGGTTTTGTAATGTCTTTACATTCATTTATATATATGTATGTATGTATGTATGTATGTATGTATGTGTGTTAATTATTATTATTATAATATTTATTTTTTGAAAATAGTTAAGAAAACTTTATTCATAGAAAAATAATTATAAAACTTTATTTGCCTCTCTATTTATTAAATAATATAAAAAGTTTTATAGCTTTCTTTCAGTAAAAAATAAAGTAATATAAAAAAATTAGTTACACTTGGTTGTTTCTCAACTTACCAATATTGAGAAAATTATTATAATAATAAAAACTATGTATATACCAGGTGTATAAGCTTAAATCTGCTGTTTTTTAGTAAGAAAAACAGGTTTTTTTCTTAGAAAGCAAAAACAAATTTATTCAAAGTACTTTCCCTCACTAGAGAGACATTTTTTCCATCTCTCGGGCAATGTCTGAATACCATGCCAAAAAAATTCCTTCTCTTTAGAGGCAAACCACTCATCAAGCCATTTTCAGATGTCTTCGTAAGAATCGAAGTGTCACTCAGCAAGTGCGTGACCCATCAATGAAAACAGGCGATAGTCGAAAGGGGCCAGGTCTGATGAATAAGCGGGATGGGGTAGCACCTCCCAGTTGAGTGTCTCCAAGTAGTTTCGGACCAATGTTAACACGTGCGATGGTGCATTGTTGTGGAGGAAAATCAGCTTGTCATGTCTTTGCTGATAATCTGGCCTTTTTTCACGCAAAGCACAGTGCAATTTGATCAGTTGTTGGTGGTAGCAGTGGGCATTGACAGTTTCACCAGGTTTCAACAGCTCATAGTAGATGATACCCTGCTGATCCCACCAAATGCACAGCATTGTCTTCCGTCCAAAGCAATTTGATCTTGGAGAAGATGTTGATGGTTTGCCTGGATCAACCCATGATTTCTTGCATTTAGGATTCTCAAAATATATCCATTTCTCATCACCAGTTACAATCCGATGCAGAAACGACTTTCTGTTTTGTCTGGCAAGCAAGATTTCACATGTGTTTTGGCATCTCTCCATCTGCCTATTGCTCAATTCATGCGGCACCCATTTTCCAATCTTCTGAATCTTTCCAACGGCACGTAGACGCATGGAAATGGCGGGTTGAGTAACACCCAATTGCTCAGCAACAATTTTTTGTGATTGGGTATCGTCCTCATTCAAAAGAGCCTGCAGTTGATGGTCATCAACCTTCCTGGGCCAATTTTCATGCTTCTTGTCGTTCAGGTCAAAATTTCCTTCTTTGAACTGATGAAACCAATCTCTGCACATGGTTTCTGATAAAGCACTGTCACCATAGGCCTCCACAAGCATTTGATGTGCTTCAGCAGCCGATTTCTTCAAATTGAAGCAGAAAAGCAAAGCTTGCTGCATATGCTCTTTTTCTGGCACAAAAGTAGACACGATTACCAAAGGAAAAATATATGTTGTTGTATAAAATTGCTGATGATGTGCACTGATTAATGTTGACAGATGTCAAAATCATCAAAAAAAAATATGACATTGTCATGGTAGCTTAATACGCTCACTTACGCCATCTATTAGCAAATAGCAGATTTAAGCTTATACACCTGGTACTGTACATATATAGTTTTTACTATTATAATAATAATTTTTTTTTCAATATTGGTAAGCTGAGAAACAATCAATTGTAACCAATATATATATAGTGTGTGTGAAATAATGCCTTTACATACACAAAAAATACAACATACATTTTTATTCTTATTAAATGACACAATAATATAAAAAGCAAAAGAATATTACATAATTTTTTATATTTATCTAATCTTTTGCTTTTAGAATACTGATATGTTAAAAAATTAATATTATAGATNAACTTATCTGAAGTTGTATGTTCTAAAAATTATTCAGGCCAAATTCTGATTTGAATTATGAAATATCCTATTACATGAATAATCTAATTTTTATTTAATTACATTATTGTGATACTCTTCTAATTGATTTTAAATTTCAGATTCCTATTGGTTTGCTCATGGTGGTGGAAATGATCTTTCTTCACCATTGGGAGATCATGCTAGTGATTCTGGTTTTTCAGGTATAATTTGATCAGTTCCTATATCCTGTTTTTCTTTATAATTGCTTTAATATTATTGGAAGTATTGTAACTTACAGTAGTTACATAAATATTTAAGCTATTAATTACTTTGTTCTAATATATGTAAGTAAATAATAGATATTGTATAAAAACAGTGTATTTACTATTTCTCCAAGTGTATTTAAATGTAGTAAGAAAGATTTTTTCAAAGTTGATAGAAGGATATGTTATTTGTTTTGATTAAAATTAGCTAATACTGGATTCCATTCAAAATATAAATAATAAAATATGATGATATAACTTATTACAGAACAATTTAATTAAATAAAAATATTAATAGATATGAATGAATAGATTTTTTTCTTGAAATAATCTGTTACATCATTTTCTACACTGTATTATGATATATTTACTACAATATTTTATCAGTTGGTTTTGTAATGTCTTTACATTCATTTATATATATGTATGTATGTATGTATGTATGTATGTATGTGTGTTAATTATTATTATTATAATATTTATTTTTTGAAAATAGTTAAGAAAACTTTATTCATAGAAAAATAATTATAAAACTTTATTTGCCTCTCTATTTATTAAATAATATAAAAAGTTTTATAGCTTTCTTTCAGTAAAAAATAAAGTAATATAAAAAAATTAGTTACACTTGGTTGTTTCTCAACTTACCAATATTGAGAAAATTATTATAATAATAAAAACTATGTATATACCAGGTGTATAAGCTTAAATCTGCTGTTTTTTAGTAAGAAAAACAGGTTTTTTTCTTAGAAAGCAAAAACAAATTTATTCAAAGTACTTTCCCTCACTAGAGAGACATTTTTTCCATCTCTCGGGCAATGTCTGAATACCATGCCAAAAAAATTCCTTCTCTTTAGAGGCAAACCACTCATCAAGCCATTTTCAGATGTCTTCGTAAGAATCGAAGTGTCACTCAGCAAGTGCGTGACCCATCAATGAAAACAGGCGATAGTCGAAAGGGGCCAGGTCTGATGAATAAGCGGGATGGGGTAGCACCTCCCAGTTGAGTGTCTCCAAGTAGTTTCGGACCAATGTTGACACGTGCGATGGTGCATTGTTGTGGAGGAAAATCAGCTTGTCATGTCTTTGCTGATAATCTGGCCTTTTTTCACGCAAAGCACAGTGCAATTTGATCAGTTGTTGGTGGTAGCAGTGGGCATTGACAGTTTCACCAGGTTTCAACAGCTCATAGTAGATGATACCCTGCTGATCCCACCAAATGCACAGCATTGTCTTCCGTCCAAAGCAATTTGATCTTGGAGAAGATGTTGATGGTTTGCCTGGATCAACCCATGATTTCTTGCATTTAGGATTCTCAAAATATATCCATTTCTCATCACCAGTTACAATCCGATGCAGAAACGACTTTCTGTTTTGTCTGGCAAGCAAGATTTCACATGTGTTTTGGCATCTCTCCATCTGCCTATTGCTCAATTCATGCGGCACCCATTTTCCAATCTTCTGAATCTTTCCAACGGCACGTAGACGCATGGAAATGGCGGGTTGAGTAACACCCAATTGCTCAGCAACAATTTTTTGTGATTGGGTATCGTCCTCATTCAAAAGAGCCTGCAGTTGATGGTCATCAACCTTCCTGGGCCAATTTTCATGCTTCTTGTCGTTCAGGTCAAAATTTCCTTCTTTGAACTGATGAAACCAATCTCTGCACATGGTTTCTGATAAAGCACTGTCACCATAGGCCTCCACAAGCATTTGATGTGCTTCAGCAGCCGATTTCTTCAAATTGAAGCAGAAAAGCAAAGCTTGCTGCATATGCTCTTTTTCTGGCACAAAAGTAGACACGATTACCAAAGGAAAAATATATGTTGTTGTATAAAATTGCTGATGATGTGCACTGATTAATGTTGACAGATGTCAAAATCATCAAAAAAAAATATGACATTGTCATGGTAGCTTAATACGCTCACTTACGCCATCTATTAGCAAATAGCAGATTTAAGCTTATACACCTGGTACTGTACATATATAGTTTTTACTATTATAATAATAATTTTTTTTTCAATATTGGTAAGCTGAGAAACAATCAATTGTAACCAATATATATATAGTGTGTGTGAAATAATGCCTTTACATACACAAAAAATACAACATACATTTTTATTCTTATTAAATGACACAATAATATAAAAAGCAAAAGAATATTACATAATTTTTTATATTTATCTAATCTTTTGCTTTTAGAATACTGATATGTTAAAAAATTAATATTATAGATCATGATTTTTCACATTGTTTAGTAATATAAAATTATTGTATAGTATTGGATTATCTGCTTATTAGAACAAACTATCTTTTCAAATAATATATAAATAAGTATACAAGTACAATATAAATATATAAAAAATATTTATTTTATAAAAACAAATTATTTGTAAAATTATTTTTTTATAAATATAAAAGAAGCTACAAATATCAATTCGAAAATGTTTTGAATTTGAAATTATAGTGTAATAAATTGGAATGCAACTTTTATTTTATAATTAAGAATTCTGAGAAAGTAGCTGAATGATAATTGGTTAATTCTGAATGATGATAACTTTAATTGCTATAAAATACAAATAACTTTACATGCTAAATAATAATAGAAATAGGTAAGCCAATGCAACTGTCAATTGGTATTATAAAAAAATTTAATTTGCAAGTACTAATTTAATTACTAATACAGATCAAGATTAACTGATAAATCTATCTGCCATAATGATGATTGTAGGATCTCAGTCTTTGAATCTAGATATTAGAAAACTAGTAGGAGGAAAAAAGTGCTGGCAAGTTTCTGGTAAAAACAATTAATTTTAGTTTTATAAATATGTACATTAACTGAAATAAGTGTTTTATAAAAGCAATACTATAGCAATTATATATTTTTGAATTGAATTCACAGAACAATCATTACATAATGTGTTTTAATTGCCCTATCTATATTTTTGCATTCTCATTTCAAATTATAATTTAAAGAAAATTTGTAATTGTGATGTGACCTGCATGAATCTTACCAGTTGCATTAAATGGCCCATTGTTTAGATCAGTTTGACACATCTGAGTTAGCAGATTTTTAACTTAGATCTGTTTGTTTAACTTCAGTAAGATTACGTCCATTTTTAACATGTCACATTATATTGTACCATGTCATTCAAAATGTATTGAATATTATATGATCTAATAGTCACATAATTTACCTTTGCCAAAATCTTTATTATAGAACTGTTGTAACTTTTTAAAATATTTGTATATAACACTAAATAATAACTGGTACATACAATATATACTTAATACTTATAGAAAAACCTTTGCCTACATATTCTATTTTCAAGTTTCTAATTTCATAGTTTTTCAATAATTACTGTTTTATTATGAGAGATAATTACACACCTTAAAAATCTGAAATCGCCAGTAATGAACTTTAATCTATTTAACTTTAAAAATGTTTTAAGTTCACCTTTAGGTCTCTTCAACTGAGGATAATAAATAACAATAGTTTATAGACTGTTTTATATTTTATATTACAGTTAAATTGCTATTATAAAAGTCTCATTTTAAGAAACAAATGTTTGCTAGATTTTTTTTAACTTTATTCAGAAAATAATTTCTAAATAAACTCTGTCTCTTAAAATAATGCTGTTTGATTTTGTTGATTATTATTGACTGATGATGATGATGGCAGACAAAAGATGTCTGCTATCATCATCATCAGTGACAGAATAAACTGCTGGATAAAGTTTTCTTCAACTGTTTTATTATCTTATGTAATTACTTTGAGCCTTGTGGCTGTAGAGATTTTCTTATTTTTGAATGCCATCGCATTATCTTAACAATACTCTTTCCTTTTTATTCTGCTTATTAAAGTTATAATATTTAATATTTTAGTAAAATATAAATTTTTTAAACAAAATCCTATTATGTTGGTCTATCTGCATTAATATTAAATTTTATTTTGATATTGCAAAATGAACTGCATTTATGAAGTTATGTATTACTTTTTACTTCTTTATTCCATGGCTTTTTTGTTTTGATATATCCATGATGAACAGTTAACACTCATATGAATACAAAATTTTATATATATATATAACAAAATTTATTACAATTGAAGACAAACATCTCCATATTCTGTTTCTAATTATTTAACATTTTGATAATGGTCTGTTAAGTAAAGTGAAAATGTTTGATTTTTAATAAAAAAAAAATTGCTGTTTATGGTATTTTGTCTTCTTAATGGTTAAAGTATTTACATTGAATTGTATGTGTATATTTATTTATATGTAAAAGAGAATGATGTAGCATAATTTCATTCTGTAAATATTTATCTTTAAAATTAAATGAATTACAGTTATTTTATATAATCATATTTTATGCATAAGATGTTTAATAGAGAAGCTGATATGTGGGCAGGTAACTTTTGAATTGAAATTTGGTTTCTATGGGTTTATAAGTTCAGAGATCATATTTTTAAAATTGATCCTTATATAAGACAGTTTTTCAAACAAAAAATAAAATAGGATTAGATAAAATGTAAATAAATAAAAAATTACTACACTAGTTGGACTATTTGTATTTAAAGTTTAAACTCATAATTGCAGTAAATATTTAAAAAGAATTGATAGAGATACTCTTAACTCTTTAGTGTTTTTGTGAAAAATTCTGTTTAATGCTTTATTACTTGTGATCATTTGATTGCTTTATAACAAATTTTAAATGATTACATTATTTCTTTGTTGAGAATATAAAAAGATCATTAAACATTAAAATCTTTTCCATTAAACATTAAACTCCTTTCCAAATCATTGAATATCAAATTTAACTTATAAAAACATACAAAAATTTCATCAATAGGCTTATTATATTTTTCTTTTGCTAATCAGATAAGCTTTTACTGTAAATATTTTTAAATGTGTGCTGATTGATTTTTTCTTTAGAATGCTATAAATTAAAAACATGTTTAA